AATTCACAGCTTGAGAAGCACAAACCAGAGACCAGACAGGACAGGTCCCAGCACTAAGAGTGGTTTTCTGTTCTCCTGGGCACAGTTATGGGTGATGAGAAGATTACACGGACATGGAAACAATGCAAGAATTAAACCAGACATCTTGCTTGAAGCCTGATTCCTCGCTCCCTTACAGCTCTGGGAGATTCAGTTGCAGCAGCACTCACAGCAGCTGTCACAGTGTTCTGCCCCGCCTTCTGCCAGAGGCTACCATACCTGTAGCATCCAACCAGGATGCGCCATCTGCATCTCTGCTGACCCAGCTCATAGTCTAGTAGTTTCCATAAAGCAGAAAAATATAAGGTGTTTAGGGCTGAGCCCAAAAATCTACAGGTGGGGAAGATAAATCAGAATAACACTAGTCTACACTCCCTTCAGAGAAGTCACTGCCCTTACTGAGCTCTCTGGCAAGCTCACAACGGTGTCAAAGGTGCTGATCACACTTTCAGGAGAGGAGAAGTTTTGTCCTCACTTCATTTCTCTGTAAAACACAAGTAGGTGGGTTGAACATAGCTTTGTTCTTTAGCTGTGTCCTGTCAGGTGTTCTTAACCAGGAGAGGATTCATGCTAGCAGCTGGCTGGGTTTGGCAAGACCCTTTCCCAACAAACCTTCTCATGACAACTTTGTAATGTCAGCAAGCACAGAGTCAGTGCTAAGCAACTGCCCATGCTCTTCAGCTATTTCAGGAGAAGACTGCCCTGCATGTCCCTCCAGTCTAAGAAATGCCCATGGTATTTTCTGTTCCACTGAAGATACCAGAGGATGACACATTTTTGGGACATAGTGGCCACAGTGAGGTACCTAGTGTGAAATGTTGGATAAAGGATTCCCTGTTGGCTTCAAGAGGGTCAGGATTTCACCTCTAGTGTTACTATAAACTTTAGGATGTTTTCAGTGAATCAGGGTTGAATTAAGAAAAAATTAAGGAAGTTGGGAGAATTTTAGCCAAGTACTTCACAACTTTATTTCTGGAGCTGAATGCCCTCTATCAACAAATTAATAGAGTTCAGTCTGATGGTTTAAAAGGAAGCTAAGTGTTCATTACAGTTGATCAGATCCTCTCCTATAATGCAGTAAAAAAGTGACTAAAGTAAAATTACATGAGCTACTATAACTGTAAAAAATGTAACAAAGAAGCTTAGGCGGATAACAAACGACAGACAAAGTGTAGCAATCATCTGTACCCATGAGCAAGTCCCAATTCCCTATCACAGGCACTTGTCCTAGCTGAATCCTACGTCTATGATGGGTAAAATACAGGCATGCATCAAGCCCCCAGCCTCACTCCATGTTCTGGATCCTATAGAAAGGATCCCTACTCCCACCTCGCCACATCAGACTAAACCTTCAGTAACCAGGACTGCCAAGTATCCATCAAAAAGAAAGGGCTAGATAAGACTGTAGTGATCTATATGATGCACTTGCAAAAAAAAAAACCAACCCAGAAAAACTCATCTAAACCAAACCAGACAAAAATTCACAGCAACAAGTTCATGGTGAGAAACTCAGGCTGAGACACGGGTGGTCTAAAAGTAAAGCAAATAAGACAGTATGCTGCCTCCTCTGTGTAACCGCAGGAGACATAACACCAAGACAGTCTATAAATAGCAAGACATTTCCCATCAGTGCCACTCTTCCTCCCAGGAACAAGTGACAAAAACGAAGGAAGATCTCAAATGACCACAAATCACTTCAGAAACTCGGGCAGGGATCCTGAGATAAAAGCAGCACAGGTTAACATCTCCAACTGAGAAAAGAGAAGTGTAGTTGGCAAGTCTATGCAGAGACATGAAAAGAACCTGCTACACGAATGCCTGATTCCTAACTCTTTTAATTTCACAGTGATTTTTACAGTAATAACGCTTTTGATCTTTCCAGCTACATTTTAAAAGGCAATTGTCTGGGAAGGAAAAGGCGGGAAGGAAAAGGTAGCAGAGTGCCCCGAGCAGATTCCAGTGCTATTTGAGTGTCAGGCATCCACCTGAAAGTGCAAAGTGCAATGCAGTCAGAGACTACAAAACATAACTCCTTAACATATCTACCAACACCTGCTTCCAGACCATTCATGTAAGCCTAATGGTCTTAATTAGCCATGAAAACATTCTTACAATATAGTGTTAAAATTGGGCCCGCATCACAGGGTAAAGTGGGTGACTGCTGCTCCAGACACATGAAAAACATTTTTCAACTATTTTTACCACTCTTTCTTGAAATGTTGGTTGGGCCTACATCAACAAATCAGTATTTCAGAATGCTTGTTTTTGTTTCAACCAGCAAACCGAGACCTGTATGCTTGGTGATTAATAAAGCTCTACATTTATATTAGGACCTGGGAGATTTCAGCGCTGCCTGCTGCCTAAAACTGTAGATATCTTGACGGTGCAGAAAAGGTTACTGATAAGGCAGAAGGTTCTTAGGGTCTGAAGAGCACCAATCATTAAAGACTCTGTTTTCTGTGCATGGGAGTAAATAACAGGAGATTTCAGGGGGATCTTCAGTAGAGTCAAAATAGTAGTATTTGAAGATGACATCTTGACATATATTTCCTAGGCTTTACAAAACACTGTTCAGACCACGTGGGACTTTTTTTTTTTATTATCACAGACAAGCACATTTCCCAATTCATGTCTGACTTTGTTTGCTTTTTCTTCTTTTTTTTTATCTGAAGCAAGGTTAATAGCCCTTAGCTGAAGTTTCAGGAGAAGCAGTAATCAACCAGTATTCATTTCAACCTCCAGAGCCCAAATACGAAACTTGTAAAACAAATATGAACTTGTGCAACTGCACCCTTTACAGGTTTGATATCTGCATATCTTCAGATTTAAAAATAATAAAACACATTTAAGGATATGGGCAACAATTTCCTTTAATTAATGTCTTCTGCTAGACAAAGCAGCAGGGCCCTCTGGTCATCTAGAGAATTATTTTTACATGCCAATGCCTCTTCCTAAACAGAGCAAAGTCAGACTGAACTTACGTCCACTGAGCTCCATGACCGCTTGTATACCTCTGTGTCACACTTCAAGCAGGGTCATTTCTACAAAGCTTTTTTTCTGCCCTACCTTGGCATGGCAGGAGAGAGCAGCACTGCCCACTTCAGTACAAGCTTGCACTGGATTGCACTTACAGATAGAGAAACTCTATTTTGTATGGCTTTTATCTTTAAACGTGTGAGCTCAGATTTGGATGTCTTGTTAAAATAGCCCCTTGAAGTCAATAGGATTATTCTGGTGTAGAACCTGCTCTGGTCAGATAGTGCAGTATAGACACACTCCTGTTAAACTCTGCTTTGAGGGAACTTTTCAGTGCTAAAAAGATATATATATTTTTTTTTTAAAGTGGAGACTGAAAGACTGTTTTGATTATAATTTTCTGATTGTCTGTCTATGATGAATAATTTCAGGCTTACTAGGGTCCCACTCACACAATCAGCCCATCATATCCTTTCTCCTACATACTGAGAGATTGAATACACAATTTTTTTTAATCCTCTTTTTTCTTATGTAAAAATAGACCTGTAATGCCCATCCCTGCTCAACCAGCAATACCAACTTGTAAACACTTCTGCTAAATTGTCATCATCGCAGCACTAATTTTACAGCACATCACTGTGTTTTCTATGTCAA